CGAGCCGCCCCGCCGTCCCCCTCCCTGCAGCCCGCAGGGGCCCTCACCCAGCACGTCCAGCGTGTACGTCTGCCGGATGCTGCCGAACTTGTTCTCCACCACGCACGTGTAGTTGCCGCGGTCTGAGGGCACCACGCTCTCCATGACCAGGCTCCACTGCTGGTGCCGCAGCTGTGGGGACGCCGGGTGAGCAGGGGGCGGCTGGATCCCAGGCCCAGAGGCCGCGCCCCGGCCAGGGGGCCCCAGGCCCACCTTGATGCCTCCGATGCGATGCTCGCCACGGAACTCCTTGCCGTTCTTCAGCCAGGAGATGGAGGGCGTGGGGTTGCCAGCGGCTGGGCAGCGAAAGCGGACGGTGTTGGCAGCTGGCACAGCCAGCAGTTTCTTGTCCATCCGTTCAGGCCGAGTCCAGTAAGGAGCCCCTGAGGCCGAGGCATGCGTGAGGCTATGACCGGACAGGAGCAGAAGCCCTTCCCCATCCTCCCTTCCACGGCGGCTCCTGCCCACCCCCAGCCTCAGTTTCCCCTCCTGTGTAGGGAGAGGGCTGGCCACACAAGGTTCCCAGGAACCCCCACACAAGTATTCAGGGCTGAGCATGTGTCCTTGCTCCTCCCCGGGCAGCTTCCCCCAGCGGCCAGGATGCTGTGCCCTGACCTGGGGGCCTTAGGGCCCAAGGCCTCTCCCAGGGGATGCCCCTGCCCGGAAGGCACACTAAGGGGGCAGGGCTAGGCCCAGCAGGGGGTGGCCCAGGACCCAGTGGGCAGCCCAGCTGCGTGAACACAGCAGGAAAGCACTTGGGAGCAGCTGACTCACTTCAGAGGCACCAGGCGGCGGGGGTGACTAGAATCTGAGACATCCCGCTCCCACCCTCTGCAGAGCTTCCAGGGCCTAGGACACCCATGAAGATGGCGTCCTGAGGGCCCGCCTCCTCCTGGCCCAGGTCCGCCACCAGCCCCTCCTTCACAGCCCAACTGGTTTTTCTCCTCCCTGGGGCTGGGGTGGGGGCTGCCTTCCTGCCGGGACTCGTGGGGAAGCTGGGCTGACATTCCCCTGGAGGGAGGCACCAAGGCCAAGGACAGAGAGGAAAGCAGCCCCCTCCCTGCAATAACCTCCCTGCCGTTCCCCCCTCAGGGAGGATGTGGAGGCACAGGTGGGAGTAATGTGGACACACGCCGGGCCAGAGCTTGGAGCTGCCCTTCCAGGCTTCTCCGGGTGTGGTGGGCACAGACCTCCAGGGTGACGGACAGAGCTCAGCAGACTGTTTCCCAGGCCTGGGAAATGGGAATATTCCCAGGGACGCTCACGGCTGGAGCCCGCATGGGGAATGAACACCCAACACCTGCCTGGGACAGCCAGGCAGATGGGGTAACCAGGGACCCAGGGTGAGGGCACCTGAGTGCATGGTCGAGGGCAGTGGCGCTGGGGGTGGCTGAGCTGGCTCTGTACCAGGCAAAAGGGAAAAGAGAAACTAGGAGAAGCCCAACAGCTCTGGGAGCAGGGGCCTTTTCTGGCCTCAGTCCTAGGGCCCGTCCCTACACAGCTCCCCACCCAGAGCACACACAAGTCCCTGGCGCCTGGCTCCTCCTTCAGCTCCTCCACCATCTCCCTGGTGGGCTCCTCCATACCTCCTTGCCTGCCAACTCCAGTGGGCCCCACACCTTTGTCCTCAAGTCGTCACTGCCCCCACGTGCGTCCCACAGGACCCTCGTGACACCTGCACATCTCTGGGCTCCTCCAGGACCAGAAGATCCCTCCCCGTGGCCCCCTCAGCTGCGCAGAAGCTGCTTGCCACTATTCCAGGCCAAGACACTGAGCACTGTCACCCAACTGCTGTCACAACCACAGCCTGTCCCTGGGAAACACTGTCAGCGCCCTCTTCACTACCCCCACGGCATTGTCCCCTCCCACTGGGCTGGGACAGTCGCCTCCTGGTGCCTCCACCCCGAGCCCATCCTCCACCACAGCAGCCACGGGAGCCCTGCACCCTGTCGCACTCACAGCTCCACTGGCCCACCTCATTGGGAGCCTACACCACAGTGCCACAGGCTGGCCCTGACCTTCCCATCGCTCCCAGAACCCCCAGGGCCCTGGGCCTCGGCCTTGCCAGCTGCAGCATGAGCATCCCTCTCCCACCTCCAGCTGCTGCTCAGAGCCCAGCCAGGTGTCCAGAGTCAGCTTGACGGCCCAGCCCTCCCTAGGGCACATGGACCCTTGGTGTGATGGTCCCAGGGAGGTCGTCCTCAAGCCTCAATCCCTCCCCTGCTTGTTGGGGGCAGGGCTTGATGGAAGCAGACCCCGCCCCAGCCTGCCCGTGTGCCGGAGTCTGGTCTCACCTGTGTCTTCAGCCTCGTCCTCCCCATCTTCATCATCGCCCGATGATGGAGCCTCTGGAAGGCAGGAGATGACTGTCCAGGTGCCCGACCGGTCCAGGAGGCCCTCGGGGCCCCTCATACGCGGGGCTGGACCCCTCATGCAGCAGCACCTCCTGGGGGCACCCCCCTCTCTACCAACTGCCAGCAAGAGCCTGAGGACTGCAGCTTGGCTGCTCCTGGAACTCAGTGCCTGGCCCATCCCCTCAGCCTGCCAGGCTGGCCGGCACTCACCTGTGACGCGCACACTGAAGTGACATAGCACATGCTGCGTGAGCCGGTGCCGGCAGCTATAGGCCCCGGCGTCCTCGTGGGAGGCGTTGAGCACCTGCAGCCGCTGGGGTGCCACCAGAACACGCTCCGAGGGCACCAGCCCCACTCCATCCTTTACCCAGACTGTGGGCCCCAGGGGGCCTCCTCCGGGCGGGGGGCAGCTCAGCTCCACGGTGTCCCCACTGCCGAAGACCAGCTGCTCCTGCTGGCCTGGCTCGGGCCCTGGGACCCCTGTAGGAGAGACAGTTATGTGAGGCAGACACCCCAGAACCTGGCAGTCGGGGCTGGACGCCCCTTGACAGACACAGCAGCAGAGCCATGGGCCCTGAGGGAGAAAAGACCCAACCCAGAGCCCACGATCCTCCCGTCAGACTACACTCAAGCCAGTGGCTGGAAACTGCCCCCCAAAAGGGCCAGGGGTCAGTATTTCCAGTTTTGCCAACTGGTCTCTGTCCCAGGGACTCAGCTCTGCCAATGTAGCGTGACAGCACCTTCCACAGACACCTGGAAATGAGCGGGCACAGCAGCTGTCACACAGAACCTCACTCACGGACACAGAATGTTCTCACTTCAAAGTGTCGTAGAGTGTGATTCTTCTGTTGGTTTGCTGGACCATTTGGAAATGTCAAATCCAGAATCCACTCTTGGCTCATGGGGGCACAAGAGCAGATGGGGACAGGCAGCACTTTGCTGACCTCTGGCTGGAATGGAGCTCAGAGGAGGAGGTGCTGTCTGGGGCCAGCCCTGTCCTCACAGGGAGAATCACCCCAGGAAGGCCTCCCCTCCATTCTGGCTTCAGGAGCAGTGCAGGTGGAGAGAAGGAGACAGGAAGGAAGAAGACATAGTGTCAGGCTGCCAGGCGGATGAATCTACCCAAAAGTGCTCAGGACAGGGACTGCCCCACCAAGCTGAGCAAAGGCGCCACCAGTCCAAAGGGCTGGGAACGTTCTGGACCCTGCAGCTTACCGGGAAGCTCCACAGAGCTGTCGTTACAGAAACACACACTGAGAAAGAGGCCGAAACACAGACAGGACCCCAGAGCTGGCCACATAGGTATCCCACAAGGCCCCACAAAGGGGGCTGGGGACCCCATCTCACAGAGGAGAACCCAGCTAGAGGAAGAAGTCATCAGAGACCCCAGGCCAACAGGTCACAGCTGGAGCTGCTGAGCAGGTGAGGAGCCCTGGCCACCCGCCCCGCTAGGGCTGAGAAGCGGGGGTGGGGGCATATCCCCAGGGCAGACACACATCCACGGTCCTTGGGCCCTCCCCTACCCAGTGGCTGCCCACTCCTGAGTGTCCACCAAGGCCTGAGACCCAGGGACACTTCGCCAGCGGGGCCAGGCTGACCATCACCCCAGGCATCCCTGCCAGACCCTGTCAATGCCTGTGCAGGCAGGCAGCCCGGGCTTGAGGCCCGGGGCAGGGGTGGGTGGTCCTTCACACAAGCCCTCTTCCCTAGGCCCAGCTGGGCCACTTGCACCATCACTTGTCATTCTGCCGACGTGTGGCCTAGATTCGAGGGCCCAGCTGCCCACTCTGGCCACTGCAGCGCCTGGCACCCCAGCCAGGTCCGGTTCTGCGTGTCCACCTAAGCTAGCCCCACTCAGCTAGTACCCCCTGGGATCCTGTCAGCCAGAAGGACCCACACTCATCCCCTGAAGTAACCACGGAAACCTCCATCCTCTGTGGGTATACAGCGACTCACAGCTCATGCCAGCCCCTGTGTGGCCCTGCAGTCAGGGGGGCTCCTGGCCTGACCTCCAGCCCTCCAGTCCTGGCCGCCTTGTCTTGTGGGGACCACCCAGTGCTGGGAGCTGCCTGAGGCCCCAAAACAGGCTGGTCACGGCAGCCTCAGCCCCAGGCCCTGGCCCAAGGGCAACAGTCAGTTGGTTCCGGTTTGGTCTGGGTGGCGACAAGATGTCAAGCCATCCACACAAGTATCTGCTTCAGCCCAGTCCAGCAAGGGGCTTGGGGGACACAGAGCAGTCCCCAGGGCATCCAGTGCCCCGTGGCCATCCACCCACGTGGGGTTGAGGGACGGGCTCTGCACGTGGCCGAGCCCTGGCCTACCCACCCAACCTGCCCGCTAGGTGCCAGCAGAGGCCAGGGACCCCCCGACGTCAGGCAGGGGCAGGCAGCAGAGTCACCGCCTCTGGCGAGCTGATCCCATCCCAGGGTGCACTGGGCCTAGAGAGACCCAGCAGGGACTGAGTTGGGGGAGTCGGGCAGGGTGATGCCAAGGGAGGGCAGGATGGGGTCCCACAACCTTCCAGTGGCCCCAGGAAGGGCTCTTTCTTGATCAGCCGAAGGAGGGCCCCCACCACACCACACAGGCACAGGTGTCCACATGGATCAGCGACAAAGCTACTGTGCTCACGGTGTGGGGAAGGGACCCACCCCACATGGTGCGGCCCGAGTGCTGTGTCCGAGGGGCTGGCTGTGCTGGACCTGGAGGGCATCCCCCATCACAGAATCTCCCCGATGTTGCACTCACTGGCCTACTGTAGCACAAGGTAAAAATCCCACCCCACAGGCCTGGCAGGGGCCACCAAGGCCGCCACACCCTGAGAAGTGACTGGAGGGTGAAAGGCGTTCCTGCCCTGGGTCTCTTGTCCATTGGCCGGCCTTCTGGGGCTGGCCACATCCCAGGTCTGGGTCACTCCAGCTGGAGGCCCTGATGCATGAGGGGTCAGGGGTGGGAGGTGGGTGGAGCCGTGCTCTTTCATAAGGGCCTTGGCAGACCTCAGATAACAAGCGTCACATT